AGAGCGTTGAAGAGGGTTTCTGGGCTATCTTCCCCTCGAACGGTCCCGGTGCTTTCTCGCCCTGGAGTCTGTTCGCTTGTTCCCAGGGCTGTGGGTGAGCGGAGCCGGCTGGCCAAGAAGGGGTTCGTAGGAGCCAAGAGGGAAGCGGACGCGCGGATCGGGTTGAGGTGCATTCCTGGGGCGCAGGGTGTGCCTGTCACAGCGCAGGGGAGAGAGGGAGCGTGTTTTCGTGTGTGGCTGAGAGCCGTTTGGGATTGAGCTTGTCGGCCAGAGAAGCGCTGCGGAGCAGCAGGCGATGTCTGGAAGGACGGCCTTGAGCTCCGTCCTCTTCTCCCTGCTGCGTAAGCGAAACGGCAAACGCTGCGGCATTGAAACCCGGCGTAGAGCTGCACCTCCTGCTTGAGTCCAAATGAATGGCTTTGCTGCCCCTGCCCCAGACTAATGACAGGGGAAAAGTGGCAGATTCTTCCTTCGTTGTGTGGAGAGACGAGGAGGAAAGAAGCAGCAGTTGGGAAAGGTGTGCCTTGCCATAGCTAGCAGGGGTAGGATTCAGACTGGTCAAACCCTAGCTTGAAATCAAAGAGTAATCCTGAACTTGTGGCTGCCTTTCAGATCATAAATATCCAAGCGCTGTCTCCAAAAAGTGCTTGGCTTCTCCCAGATTCCTCCCTGAGGCCTGCTTGGCCCATGCATTAGACTTTCCTCTGCTGGAGAAATGATTTCTGTCCAGGAAGGGAGGTTCCGAGGAGCCTGGATAAGTTACCTGCTTGCAGTGGTTTTGACACGCTTGCCTTTCCTCCCACCCCAGGGTTTGTCGGCGCTGTGGCAGCTTTGATGCGCGTCGTTATGCCTGATCACGCCGATGTCAGCCTCCCACCGGAGGAGCGAGTCCGAAGGCTGATCCAGATGGGGAGCGCTGTGGAAGTGAACGAGGACGTGCCACCGCGGCGCTATTACCGCTCTGGAGTGGAAATTCTCCGCATGGCTACCGTTTACTCGGAGGAAGGCAATATCGAGTATGCCTTCATTTTGTACAACAAATATATCACGTAAGAGCACCTTTGCTTCATTTGCGAGGAACCCGTGTTGCTACAAAGGCTTGTTATTTTTGTCTTGCTTCGAGTGTGCAAAACCACAGCCAAGCCTTGCTGGCCTGGAAGAACTGGGTTCTGTCCAGAGCTCTGCTGCTGAGGAGGCCTGAGAAAGGCTCGTTCTGAATTTCACTTCCGCTGGGGTAAGGATCCAGCCAGCCTAGTTAGAAAGAACAGGAGACGTAGCAAAGGTGCCAGGTACTAGCAGGCAAACACTGCTCACCCGTTTGCAGGACGGATATAAGAGTTCCTTTTAAATCCAGGCTTGCCTTATAGTCCTTCATCCCAGAGCGACAGCTAGTGAGGACTCCTGTCAGCAGACGGGGAGCTTTTGGCTCCCTGTATTTAGAAGCGGATACTTCCTGGCGTTTTACCACCACAGAGCAGCTAATTTGGTTGTTGACTTGCCTGCCACATCATACGAATGGGCAAGGGTCGTAGTTTTATAAAGGGGCTCTTGGAAAGGATATAGGCTGGTTGGCGATTTCACGAATAAGCCTGCTTTGGGAGAGAGGCCTGGTTCACATTTGGTTTATTAAGGGCTGGTAGAGCAGGAAGTGGGTTCCTCCTTCGAGCGCAGGGATCAGTTGCCTGGGAGTGTAGGTTTAGTTCAACATCTCAGAAACAATATAATCCCTCCCCCCGTACACACGTGCACCCAAGCCCCTTTTGAGGAAGGATGTGGGGAAGAGGACTGAGTCCCAAGGACCTGATCCCAGTCAGCTGGTGCTGACAGCATATGGGTATCTTGGGTCCTGAGCACCCTCCTAGAAAGCCCCAGATCAGGTATAAATCCAGCCGAGACCCCGCTGTTATTTCAGCTGCCGGGGCTGACTGTGTGGACAAGCACAGAGCCGCGTGTTTGGGCTACTGTCTCAGCCGCTGGCCGGAGAAAAGCCATTTTGGGTCTGAAAGCCGCGCTGCCATGCACTGGAGCGTACGCCGTGCTAACGCGGTGACGTGCTGTCGGATCTGGCTTGTGTCTGACCGGCTTGGAGTTTGAGCAGAGCAAACGTGCCTGTCTGTAGCTGTGCCTGTGCCTGTTTAAAGGGCTAAAAGCCACGATCCTCAGAAAATATCCCAATGGCACCAATTGTCCTGTTTCTTTAGGCTTTTTGGCCAAAAGCCTGTCCCTCCCACCTTCTCCCAGTTTTAGTGGTCGAAGGGCCGGCTCTGGTATGCGCTCTGCTGCGCCCACGTTACCTACATATCCCGAATGTGGTTGGCATCTCTGCTGGCATTTTCTCTCCCTGCCCCCGTGTGCAGGGTTCCTGCCCCTTAAATCCAATGCATTTTTCTCTGATTAGCTTTGCTTCCCGCCTTACACTTCCTGAGCTTTTATGGGCATTGTAGCGAGCTCCCTGGGACGCTGCTCAGGGAGCTGGGAAGTGTAAAACCCTTGGGAAGTTTTCCAGGCTGGTTACGTAGCTAGAGCCAAAGGAGAAACTCTTTTCTAGCTAAACAAATGAATTAAGTGCACCTTTGCTGTTTCATTATTGCAATGATAGGTGCTGGCGTGTTTTCCCTCCAGCAGCTTTTAAATGCTCGTGGCATTTACGTTAGCCTCATTGTTAGGCTGCCGGGAAGGTGAAAGACTCTTGTGTCAGCAGTGTGCTTTTCCCAATGCTGATGAATTTGAGTGGCCGGTCTGGATTATATGAAGATATGAAGTTAACCTTGTCATTGCATTTCTTTAAATGAAGGCCTGTCTTTTCCGTAGCGATGCTGTAGCTCAAGTGAAGGCAATAGGCTTGAGGCAGAGTTTCTAGGTGTGCTTCCCCGAGGGCGTGATCCAGAAGGCAAGAGCAGAGCATCCTAAATGGTGCCTTTAGCAGGACTTGAGCTGCTCTCCCCTTGCCAGAAATGGGGCCTGAATTGTTTCCCCTGTAGCTTGAGCCTAAATATGCAGTCAGTGATGCAGCTGGGGACTTTGGCTGTCCTTTCTCAGAGCCGAGTTCCCTACCTGAGTGTATGGCCTCGTGCAGGCACTTTCCGCATCCGGCTCTGGCTGGGGATGGGGATGTCCCTCCTGGGGACAACTCCAGCCTTGAGAAGTAAGCGAGAGGCTCTTGGCTGCACCCCTGCACTCGGTGCATTTGCTGGGAGCAAGCGCTCTGTCCTTGGGAGCGAGTCCTTGTCTTAGCGGGGACTGCGTGGCCTTAGGAAACTGGATTTCTCTTTTCTCCCAATATCGTGTTCCCCAGATCTTGTTGATCTCGCTGCGAGATTCAAGCCTTGGGATTTTGGGAGAATCTTGTCTAGGCCCGGGGTGATCTCAAGGTGGGCTGGCACTGAGATTCCCGTCGAGGCGGCCAGCTCCCTGCTTTGCACCAGGCTGCCTGCTTGATCTCGTGCGAGTCATTTAGCTGCTCAGCACTTCTGTTTCCCCTGTGTGAAATGAAGCTAGTTGCCCAGCTGTCCTCATGAGGGGCTGGAGGGCTGCATGGGTATCTGTAAGTATAACCAAAATGGACTTTTAGGACATATCTCTTGTCGCCTGGGAAAACATCTGCTTGCTTCTGTTGTTTTACTGTACTGGGAACAGCTTCTTCCATGCTGGTCTGAGCAGATTTGTCCTTGAATCACCAGCAGGCATAGTAGGTTGCTTTTGCTAGAGCAAAGTAAGAAGAAAAAAAAAAAAAGACATGGATTTCCTGTGGTGTTTGGGCTCCTGG